AGTATTCAAATACATACTCTTTAAATTCTTTACAGAAATTAAAACAACATCGTGTTACGTGTGCCATTTCCATATAAAGAAATTGCTTCTTTGATGAGATTTTGTTTGATAGCGCGAAGAAACAGCAACTATTTAGATACAAATCGTTTGGTAATTTAGGCCACACAAATACCAGAGAACAGATATAAAAAAATAGCTAGAGAGTTTGAGTATTTCCCTGAGCAGAATTCTTTTTATTATATCCTCTAATGTTTATCTTTCTTTCTATTCAATAAGATTTATGCTAATCAAGAGTAGAAGGTAAAACAATTAATCTCTATAGAACTACGACTGGCATAATAATAGACAATGGATAATCGTTTTTTCTTTATTCTATTATATAGAATTTCATATTTTTTCGGTAAAACCATTGAAGTCTTATCCTTGTAACACTTTTCTCTAAATGTGCCTAGCTCTGTTTATCTTATTTATGCACGTAGCAAATATAATTATCGACTAAGACAACAAAAAAATGAAAGAATACTTGCTACATTTTATAGTTAGAGTACAAATGCAATTTTCTCTTTCTTTATTCTTTAACAGATCTGTTTGTATCACATATACGTAGAGATAAATCGAATAATTTGTTACATTATAATAGATAATTTTTTATTATCAAAACAAAATCAAACATGAAAATTTTCCTTTTCTTTCTAGCCTGTCGAAAATAAAATATGTGTGTCATAAAAAATTTTAGATTTCTATTTTGTATTTTATCAAAAAGAATGTAGGATTAGAGAAAAATCCTCATAATAAACATAATGATGACAGAAACCGTTACAGGGCAGAGCAGAGCACCCTCAAGACTTGTAAACTGTGCTTGACTACACAATGGTTATTACACATGTATAGAATAGATCTTAAAATCGTTTAGAAATAGATTAAAACTGTACAATTCTTATTCAATTATAATCTGGTTTTAAATTAACTTTTTGACTTTTTCTAATTTTTGGAATTTTTTTGAAAGTGTTTTTACCGATTAAAACTCATTAATCACTATTAAGTAATCAAATTTGATAAGTAAAAATAGTGTCGTTTGAATCTACTGTTGGTGAAGCAATGATTCGCTTTTTAACTCCAATATGTTGCTTCTTATTTTTTTGCATGAACACATGACACTAGTAGCATATTCATAGAAAAACGCAATATGCATCAATGAAGACAGTGACTTTTTTGACACTGAGTATTATCATTTAACTAAGTCAAAGTCTGTCATCACCATTAAGTAGCAGACCGAGATTCAATTTTTTACTATTTACTAAACGTACATACAGTTTGATTACAGGTGTCGAATCCTCTCGAAATCGTTGAGGTTCGTATTAAATGATAATGAATTAGAATGAGTATATAACAAACAAAAGTTCTAATAAGATCGATTGAAAAAATGAAATAATCACTACTAGGTGGGATTACATATATGACACATGTTCTAAAAGATCTATGTATGCATTTAGTTAATGATTTCAAATGATTCTTTTTTAACAATATGTTATCCGCAAAAACTGTTTTGTCCTGTTCTGATGATGGTCTTTGGTTGATAATTAGTCTGATTCAATCAGTTTTGAAATGATAACTTATATGAATATAGACTTATCTCTTTATTAGTGCTCTTTCGGAAACAAATTTGAATATAGTTTCATAAAAATAATAATAGTATATCATCTAAATAGAGCTATCAGATTTGTAAAATGTCAAGCTTTGACTACAAAAAAAAACAATTATCTTTATGTCAAAAGTATTTACCTAATTACTGACAATATATGAAAGACTATTTAGGAATGTCAAGCAATTCCTTTGCATGGTAGAAGTGATTGGTTTTTCCACTGGAAAAAATTTTCGGCACATTTACTAATTACGATTATCCTTATTAAAAGAAAATATATTATCAAGACACAGGTTGCATTGTATTATACAAGAAACACTCTAAATCTGACAAAATTGTTCATCAAAATTTATAGAATGTTCCAAACTTCGTCAGAAAAGTGAATGTAATCATTTTTCATATAATCTAAGTAAATTGATTGCTTCTTTTTCATAATATAAAAGTATGTCCTTTATAATTATATTCAAAGTATTTTTCTGTGAATTTCTACGTCTATAAAAATTAAAATAGAATCAGATTTATCACTGACTAAATTCATGTTATTTACAATAATCAAATAAGAATTATTAGTCGATCTTAGCAAGGAAAGAACTAAATGTCGACTGCAGTTACGACGTTTACAATGCTCTTATGATACTGATATTGGTGAAAATCAATAACGTTTTGAAAAAGCTTCTAAAATTATGAAAGAAACATTCAGCAGAAATAACAATATTTAACAAAATGAGTGATAATAAAATGTTCAGTTGGTTGCTATAGCTTGCTAGTTTTCACAAGCCACTACGCATCGACTTATGATTCAATATATTTTAATGAGGCTATACTAAATACACTCTGATTAACAAAATGACGGCAATGATTTGTAAGACCGCGTTGAATTTTATAAAACTTTTATATTAATTTTACTGGAGATTAGTGATCAAGAGAATTCGAGCTCTATTGTTTGGTTGCATTAGCTTTTCATTTCAATGAATTTATCAATGAACATAAAATGAAAACTAATATCAATATTATGCTTTTAAAAGATCAAATTCAATTTACAACAGAAGCTGATAACTATAGTAAGTTAATAAAAAAGACACGACATTGTATCTTACTTATCTAGCAGTTTTGAAATCGATCGATTTGTGAGCTTTAGTTGATAGGTATTATTATGAACCTTTATTGCATAAACAAATTACATTAAATAAAACTTAAAAAAAACACTCATGCTGTTAAAAAAACAAACAATGATCAAATAGCTTGAATTTTTTAAGAGATAATCACATTTACTTTTCAAACGAACTTTTAGGACGTTCTTTTGTTGTTTTTCATATATACATAACCAAAATGACTTATTTAGTAGACAGCCAAATGTATACAAATTTTTACTTGATAATCATTTTGTTTCATCAATATAATAATTGAAATTATTTCGAACTTTACTTATTAAATATTCTCCATAATAGCATTCGGGAGATGTTTCATTAATACGCAATTTAACATCAAGATTCGGTTCAAAAAAGAATGGAGTCGAAATACGTGATCGAGCTGGTTTGACAGGATTAACAACACAATGACGTGTTGAACGATATTTATTCTTAGTAATAAATGCAATTATATCACCAATATTACATGTTAAAGCAATTTGTTCTTCAACAACAATTGGATCAGCTGATACATATGTTGCTTTTGATGTATCATTTGTACGAACATGAAGACAATTATGTGAATCAAGATCTTGATTAACAAATGTTAACCAACCATAATCAGAATGTTCACCACAACCATGGCCATATTCTGTTGATTGAACTTCATCTTGAGATACAGCTGGATAACGAATACATCGAATAACCTAATAATGAAAAAATGAACATTTGTATTTAATATGAAACAGAAAAAAAACACACTAGAATATGATTTTACCCAAAATGAATCATTAAATGTCGATTCAAAATAATTTAATGGTAA